CCACCCTAGGACAGCTCAATCAATGCTATTATTACATTCAAATCCAAAATTTCCCATTACAGAGGTCTGCATCTCCTTGGGGACACAAAAAACAAACCTGTATTTTTTGTTGTTGTTGAAAATTCCTTAGAGTCAGACAATGATACTGTCCAAAGCATGATGGCCCATGTTAAATTCTGGTTCTGCCCATCACTGTTACCAGGTACTGCTATGCTAATTGCTGTCAACATCAAATGCTGGTCACACCAATTAAGTTACTAAGATATGAATGATATGACATCCTATTTGTTTTCTGTCATGTATATATGGACTAAAGAACTGAATGTCTTGTGGTTTTTTCATTTCCTTTATTTTCTATCCTTTAAATCTAATTGAGATAAAAAAAAAAAATCTTTCTAGCATGACTTCTGCTTTCATGCTTGTTTCCAGTGTGATGTCATCTAGTCCCAAAACTAATATTCGAAGGTCCAAAACAAAGAAATTAAAATCTGGACCATTACTAGTCATAATAGACTATGTTCTTAGGTCTAAATTATTCCACCCTGGTATTAGTAAGTAAAATGAGCTAAAATAGATGATTTTTTAAATCAAGCTTGCCTTCCCGTGGGAGTATATGAAATGATGAAGTGTTATACAGATACTTGGATTCAGAAATTTCAACTTTAGAAATAACTAATTGCTTTTGAAAGAGCATAAAGTCAGCAGGCTTGGTTTATGATATACAAGTTGTATGGCCCAGAGCAATTCTCTTTACCTGGCCACACTTGGTTGTTGTTTTTTTAACCTATAAAATGGCAACAAAAACCATCATTGGTGTAAGAATGAAATGAAATCACTTCTATGAAAACCTTCTGTTATCATTTTCCCACTAGACTCTGAGCGCGTCATAAGCAGAGGCAGTACTTAAGTCATCTTGGATTCCCAGTGGTGCCATCATATTTGGTAAGAATGCTTACTAGTACATGTCAAGCATGTATGCTAACCTCCTGTGCAGCTGCTATGTCTTCTCCACTTTAGGGATCAAAGCTCTCCACCTCCAACTACTTGCGTTCTCTGACAAGACCACTCATATTTGCCAAGCTGGAGCCAGAGGCTTGCGCACCCACTGGTGTCACATTTGCATGCCAACACCATAATCTAAGGGCAATACCAACAGTTCCCACCTCTGGGCCAGGACTTGGGAGTGTGTAGTGCACCCCAAGCCTGCCTGTCTTGCTCCAGACTCTACATCAGCCGTGGGCAAACTACGGCCCGCGGGCCGGATCCGGCCCTTTTGAAATGAATAAAACTAAAAAAAAAAAGAGACCGTACCCTTTTATGTAATGATGTTTACTTTGAATTTATATTAGTTCACACAAACACTCCATCCATGCTTTTGTTCCGGCCCTCCGGTCCAGTTTAAGAACCCATTGTGGCCCTCGAGTCGAAAAGTTTGCCCACCCCTGCTCTACATCAAAGAAGGGCTCCAGGTCTGAGGACTGACAGGAGCAGCACATTACAGACCGGAGCAGTTCTAGTGGGAGCAGGAGGCACTCTTCCCAACGCCCAGCATCACACAATGATACTGTCCCAACAGAGAGGTCTCTGTACAGTTATGACTCAGATTGGCTAATTGAGCAACATGGGATTATTATACCGCCATCAAAATGATAAAAATATGCTTACCAAGGAAAAGGATTTAAAAAATAAATGGGGAAATACAGAGGACAAATTGTTTATTTGTCCCATAATTTTAAGTACATAAAATGATGTGTTTTGGATAGACTAGAAGGAAACCCAAAGACATGAAGATAATACCATTAGGGTAGTGTTATGGGTGAATTATTCTGATTTACTTCTTATAATCTTTTAATGTTAATATAGTAATGAATCAAAAATAGGTAGCAATCTTCCATCTCCAAGCCGGCATTTTTAAAATCCCAGAAAGGCCCTGACCGGTTTGGCTTAGTGGATGGAGTGTCGGCCTGTGGACTGAAGGGTCCCAGGTTCGATTCCGGTCAAGGGCATGTACCTTGGTTGCAAGCACATCCCCAGTGGGGGGTGGGGGGTGGGAGGGTGCAGGAGGCAACTGATCGATGTTTCTCTCATCGGTGTTTCTGACTCTCTATCCCTCTCCCTTCCTCTCTGTGAAAAATCAATGAAATGTATTTTAAAATAAATAAATAAATAAAATCCCAGAAAGAAAATTACCTGGTCATGTTTAGACTCTACGGAAATAGACTCTAACCCACCATCATGGTTTGGGGGCAAAGCCTTTTTCGATTGCCATCAGAAAAACTGGATTCTGGCACCAGCTCAGCCAAAACCTAGCTCTGAGACTTGAGAAGTCATCTAACTCTTCTAGATCTCCGTGAAGTCAAGCAAAAGATTTAGGACAGAATTCTTAAGCTTGCTTCTGGGCTTTCTACAATGGAGTGTGTGTTTCACTTTCTACAATGTAGCATATGATCATAAAGTCCTGTGAATGAATTTTTAACAAGCACATCAGAACTCAGAACACACAAGAGAGTGTGGTCCCTTCAGAGCAGTTCTTGTACTTGATCCTGGAAAGAGCCAACTCCTCTCTGGCCTCCACAGCCTGTTCTACACGATATTGCACATCTTTAGTAGGGCCCATTTTTCCTCCGTTGAGGCAGAATGTAACTTCTGGAAACAGCTCAGAAGAACCTGGTGCTAATTCTGGTGAGTACGATGATGAGCAGGGTGGATACAAACATTTTAGGTCACAAAGGAAGTAAAAAAAAAAAAAAAAAAAAGGCCATTCTAAAGTGCTTTGAACAATGTTAATGACATTGCTCCCGGGTTGGCAACTCAGAAGGAGGGCTGATGGATGTACAGTGTAAGTTCCCCGGTTAGCCAACGCCAATGTCACTATTTAGGGGAGATTCTTAGAGTTCTACTTCTCTCCTCAAGTGTAGCTGTCCTAAAGATATGTAAATTAAAAAAAAAAAAAAAAAAAAAGGCAACAACAACAAAAAAAACTTTGCTAGGATGCCCCAAAACCTTTTGTCTCTGCCAAAATAAATTCTGAAGTTGAAACTCAAAACATAATTTGTTTACCATTATTACAGAATGTGCTTATAAGGCCAAGATGTTTATTTTTAATACCGTTGGCATTTAACCTTTTACCCCTAATTTGCTCTGTAAATATCAAGTCTCAGCAAGGTTAAAAAAAAAATTAAAAACTCACCAAGGAGAAACTCATTTTAACCACATATTAATAAAAACATGCATCTTTGTAAAAACAAAATAGTAGATGGCTCAAACTTGGAAAATCACAATTGCATGTAATCCTATATAGCCCATTATGAAGTTCATAATACCTTGCACTTGTATAGAGGTTTCAAAATATTTCTGCTTTTTGAAGCTGATGAAAAGAGCCTTCATAAGTTCCTACTAACTAATAAGACTCACCCCCCCTCAGGAAATGAAAAGCACTCCATGTTCTCTTTCATTTAGCCTCACATGAGTTCATACATTAACACTAAGGAGCAAAAAGTCATATTTATCAAAATGCTCATTATCTATTCCCAAGAACAGACCCCTGAAACAGACCTTGAATTCATGAGAATCAACTGGGAAAGGACTAATAAAAGAGGTGCATCATACAATATTGGGGGGTAGACTGGTATTGTCACTGAGGAGGGAATTGATGGGTTAAGAAAGAGAAGTTCAATTTATAGCCACCACTCACAGAACTATCTCACTGGTGTTTAGATGGCTCTGAATAGTAGCAGTTGGATACTGATTTCCCGTTTCATAGCTAAGAGATTCCATAGGCCCAGACACTAGCTTGTTCTCAATGGAAACTCAGTGGGAAGGTGTGACTTTATCAATAAAAATCTAACACCATTTCTGAGTATGTGGCTAAAGTTTAGACGTTCCCGCTGGTGAGTGACAGGAAGGAAGCGCTGTGGTTCACAGGCCACCACTTTGAGATTTTCCGAATGGCTGCAAAGAGCTGGCCTGCAGGTGTTTGTCTGGCCTCTCAGTGATGATCGGAACACTTAAAAAATGCGCCTTCTGGCATTAAAATCTGGATTTCCAGCTTCTCTAAAAAAAAAAAAAAAAAAAAAAGATGATTTGGTAATATGGTTGATGTAACTATGGCCTAGGATCAAGTAATGGTGTCTCTTTAGATGGGTATATGTTCCATATTTACTCTCCCAGGAGGCCAACCTCACTCCATCAGAAACTATCCTGGCCTCTATAGACAGCTGAGTTTGCAACCACTGACAGCTGAAATCCTGGGCAAAACGGTGGCTTTCAGCTTCTGCAAATGTCTGCTTCCTCCACTTTTCCCTCCCTCTCCCTCCTTGCCTCCATCAAATCTTTTCTGCACTTTATCCCATTTTTTTGAGTTTTTGTTTTGTTATTGTTGTTGTTAATCCTCACCAGAGGATATTTTTTCAATTGATTTTTAGAGTGAAAGGGAGGAAAAGTAAGAGGAAGGAAGAGAGAGACATCAATCTGAGAGATACATCGATTGGTTGTCTCCCACACGTGCCCCAAATGGGGCGGGGGATTGAACCTGGTACGGTGGGAATTGAACCCAGGACCCTGAGGTGCACAGGCTCATGCTCTAACCACGTAGCAACACCAGCCAGGCACTTTATCCCATTTCTGTCTGGTTTTGTTTTGTCATATTGTGTTGTTTTGGCCAGGAAACTACTTAGCAATCTGATAAACTAATCAGTGGGGATGGACTAGGTTACATTCCCAAAAACACGTATTTGAAATGGATTCCAGACTTTCTAAATACATGTCATGCCTTCAAGGCCCAAAGGAACTTACCTACCTTGTAGTCAGATATCCATCAGATTTCTACTTTCACAGGTCTATTTCTGTGTGTAACATCTGCAGTTTACTCACAAGTAACATGCAAGTAAGGACAAGGAAACATATCTTGAACATATTCTGAGGAGATGGCCAATACCGATTACTCAAATATTTCAGTCTACCTAAGTCACAGAAGACCTATGAATCATCATTTCTAGATCCAAAGTATACAGCAGAGTTATAGACACGGGCTCCAGTCCTCAGCAGGCCATACTGGTCATGGCCACAAAAGCAGAGCTTCCTTTGTGGATGATGATAAAGCAAGATTCTAGGAAGGAAACCGTAAGTTAAATTTAAAAGTTTAATATGTTTTTTTAAAAATTGATTTCAGGAAGAGAAAGGGAGAGGGAGAAAGGGATAGAAACATCAGTGATGAGAGAGAATCACAGATTGGCTGCCTCCTGCATGCCCTACACTGGGGATGTAAATTGAACCGTGACCTCCTGGTTCATAGGCAATGCTCAACTATTGAGCCACACCAGCCGGGCTAAATTTAAAATTTTAAACCTGACTTTAAGTAAAGTCAAAAGAGATTGTCATACCCTCCTAACTAAGGTACACTAAATTATAAAGACATCAGATTTTCCCCCCTCAGTTCTTCAAGTCTGCTAAAAATTTCTGTTACCTAGGAGTAGTACTCTCGGTTTTCCAAAGATGGAGAAAAGTGTCCCAAAGTGAGTTTTCAGAGGGAAGATATCAGGTAAATATAAACTATATATTGTGTTCATACGTCAGAAAATGGCAGTCTTCCTCATGAGTCACAACTGCGTGCGTCTTGGTGGACAGCCTTCCTAATGGAGACCTGCCAGACTTCCTAAAAGGCCATGGACACACACACACACACACACACACACACACACACACACACACACCACAGCACAGGTGCCCTCCTTACAGCCCAGCCAAGGGGCTGATGAATTATATTCTCCACGCTAACCCTCAGCCACACCCTCGGAAGGCAAGGCCCCGGCTCTTCCTGTTCTAAGCAGCTGGGGGATGCAGCTGGGCAGACCCAGAAAGATGTGAAGCCTCATTTGGCTCGAAGGGTCTTATATAAACATTAAAACGTCATAACGGAGATTTCTTCCTATTTGAGAGGCTGATCTCTGTTCTAAGGCAACCTCACCCACCTAGTGAACAAATGCAATGTTTCAAGCCAGCAAAGAAATGATTTGTTGAATTTTTGCCAGATTACTCTAGATCCAGTAGATGAAGCCACGGCAAATCTCCTATTTCAGGACAGCCAGCTGTTTCAACTTTTCTGTCAGGGAATCGTGGCCTCGGCAACCGTATCTGATGCACAGATAGTCTCCAGGCGGCCCGCAACACGGCCATCTGTGCTGCTGGCAGGGAAGCCATCCACAGGTAAGTCCCACCTGTCCTCCCATAGCCACACTACACGATTCTGGAAACCACGCTCTTGCTCAACATCCTCCTCTGTATCCACATGCCCCATCACCTCCTTCATCAGCAATGGGGCCGAACTGAGCACCGCGTTCATGAAGTCACCAAAAAGAGGAGGCTAGACTAGTTTTCAGCCTGCCCAGCATGAAAAATAAGTTCACTAAGGGAAAGTTCATTTTCTCAGGGTACCACTCACTCAAGCATTTGAATTCAGTAAGATTCTTTAAGCTCTTTACAAAAAGCACATTGATTTCTTTCTTTCTTTCTTTTTTTACAAATATTGAGCCATGGAAAATAATTATAGCAATTCTAAAGTACTAGGGCTATCATACTGCTTAAGTTTAAGTGGCCAATTAGGCGGTGGCCCAGTTAAGTAGCTCCACCCAGACAACACTCAGCTTAAGTAAATGGTTCTTCATAGGTGTTCCCAAAACAAGGTGGGGTAGACGTGCTTCTTAAACCCTAAGACTGAGCGAGGAAATTTATTTGCAGATCAAGTGTCTTCTTAGGTAGGGGGCAAAGGTGGTATCATTTTGGACTATGTGAAAAAAAAAGAAATCTTTGGTCAAGGCTATCCTTTTAAATATGTTGTTGGTTTTTAATTATACTTTTGAACAAGCCCAGCACTGGGCCAGGGGCTCCTTTTCGGTTTTGGACGCCGGTTCCGAAGGGCCTGAGCTACACGCCCCTCAGGCTGGTCACGCGGGGTAGATAGTTAAATGAGCGCTGTCCTGGTTATCATTCTGACTTGGCTGCACTTTGTCATTAAAAACCAACCCAACCAGAAGAGGACCTGTCTGTCCACCTACGCAGGCGTATTCCAGTGTGGAAACAAGGAAGCCTTGCAGTAGAACTTGGTCGTCTTTCTTCCGATGGACCGCCAACCCCTTCAAAATCGAGCCCTGGCTTTTGTGCCTGGGAAAGTTAAGCACAACGAAGCCCCGGGGGTGCGGCTAAGGCTGTGGGGGCGGGGTGGCTGGGGCGGGGACTTGGGGCAAAGGAGGAAAAGTCATAATAAGTTAGAGAAAAAGCCGGCCACTTCCAGGTATTCCCCAAGTGCCAACGGAAAAGGAACAAAAAACTCGACTTCCTCCCGTGCAAGCCGTTCACCAGACACCCGAAAAGGGCCGGTCACCTCGCACCGGGGAAGGGGTGGGAGTGGGGGCGGGGGTGCTTAGTTCGCCTCTGGAGAGCAAAGACCCCCAGGCGGCTCCTCGTCCAGTCCAGGCCAGCGTAGCTCGGAGCTGCACCCGGTCCCTTTCGCTCTCGGGCGCCTGCCCTCCGCCAGGTGCTCGCCCTACCTGGGGCCCCCGGCGGCCTTTGTGCAGCCCGCGCCGGCCCTACCAGCGTGCCGAGGCCGGCGGCCGGGCGGAGGGGGAGAGCGAGGCGGCCCGCGCCGGTGCCCGCGGGTGGGAGGGGCGCGCGGAGACCGAGGGGGCGCAGCCGGCCGGCTCCCGCGCCAACGTGCCGGCGATCTGCGCCCGGGCCGGTGGGACCAGAGGGGCACCGGCGACTGCCCCATCTCCCCAGCAGGAGGAAAGGGACCCCCCTCCAAGCGCCGTGACCCTGCACACCCATCTCCCCACACCCTGGCTTCCGACAGCTGGCAGCCATCGCTACCCGGCCACAAAAAGTTTCGCGACGCCGAAAGCGACTGGAAAGAAAGTTTTCCTTGGCCTCTCACTCCCTCTCCCCCGTCCCCGGGCGCAGGAAAGCAGTAGGAAATCAGAGATCACGACGTGCCGACTCCGGCGTCCACCTTCTCCACCCCTGGCCTGGGCAGCGCGCCCAAGGTGGGTGCCCAGCGCGGAGGCTTCCTGCCCCAGCCCGGGGTCAGGCGCCCTGGGACGCTGCGCGGCCAACTCACCATGGTGACTCGCACCGCGGTCGCGCCTCTGCTGGTCGGGCTGCGGGGGAGCTGGGACTCTTGGAATGAAGTCTCCTGGGCAAACTTCAAAAGTTGGTTCCCTTCGCCAAAACCGGGCTCTCGTCACCCAAGCACTCACAGGAGCCGATGGGAACCCTAGGGGGACTCCATCCAGGCGGGATCCGCGGCGCTAGGTGAGGGCGACAGGGAGGCTACTCAGCAGGAGGGACGCATGCTGCCCAGGGCAGGGGTCGCCTCGGACCGGGCGCTCGCCGTCAGCCTGGCTGCGTCCGATGCTCTCCGCGCGTCTGCCTGGCTACCCTGCCGCGCTCCTCTTTCTTCGGCCACTAACTCCGTACTCCTCCGGCCGACTCTCGGCTCGGGCAGGGCAATCTGTCCATAAATGGAGAATTCAGTTCGGGCCTGGCCAATCAGGGTTTGTTTTCGCAGCGTCACTCCTTAGGGAAACCGTAGCAGCCAACAAGCTTGGAGCTGGTGGCGTTTCCAAAGCCCTCTGGATCCTGTAGTTCTCCGCGCCGCAGACCCGGCTCGCTCCCGCCGGCCAGACGGAACTGTCAGGAAGAAAACTGTGAAACAGAAGTCAACCTCTCGTGTTTTCTTTCTTTCTCTTCTTAACGCGAAAGTTAGAGTCGCTGTAGCTTCCCAGCTGAAGTGGTATGATTTTCCCATAACTTTTTTTTTTTTTAGGAGGAAATATTTTATCAGCATAAAAGATCAGAGTTATGGCAGCAACCCAAAGGAAATCCTTTTTCTTTCCAACGTCTGGATTGTGAGGAAAGTAAAAAATACCATTTCCCCCACCCCTCCTTTTACCTGAATTTCCTTGAAAAACAAAGGAAGCCCCCCCCTCACCCCCTCCTATTTTGTGAAGTTGCACGTGCAGCAAACAGGACAGGGGAGAGATAAGTGGGGAGAAAGCACCCTTCAACCTTAGTCTACCCAAATCTGTTGAGAGCAATTAGCCGGACAATCAGAACTGTAAAAGTACATCATTCCAGAGTGAGGGGTTTCAAGAACTCACGTGGGCAGTAAGGAGAGGATGGGGTGGGGAAAAGCAGAATCCTGAAACAGGTAAGGAATCTGATTTTAGTGTTTTAAGGGTTCGGGAAGTAAACTTGACGGGTTACAACAGGATTGTGGGGTCTGTGGAAAGGTTTGAAAACTCGAAGGCACAGAACAACTATGAAACATAATGATTTACTGATTTACTTTAAGAACCGAGGTGGTGGCCATTCACTTGAATGTAGCATCCTTAAGTTGGAATGGATGTTTAAAATCATTTTGTCTAGAATGGGTAAACAAAAATGCAATATGTCCACACCACGGAATATTAATGAGCCATTAAAAAGGAAGGAACTCCTGACACATGCTACAACATAGATGAACCTTGAAAATATTATGTTAATTGAAAGAAGCCAGACACAAAAGACTGTCTATCATATGATTCCACTTACATGAAAGTAGAGAATGGGGCAAATCTATGGAGACAAAGTAAAGAGTGATTGCTAGGGGCTGGGAGGAGGGGAGGATTGGAGTAACTGCTACAGCATATGCATCTTCTTCTTGGGGCAATGAAAATATTCTGGAATTAGACAGTGGCGATGGTGGCACAACTTTGTAACTATACTGAAAGCCACTGAATTGTACCTTTTAAAGGGGTGAATCTATGGTATGTAATATCTGTACTTTAAGAATGGAAAGAAAATCATGTTGACTAAATTCTTACAGTAATCATCCACACAGTTTGGCACTAGATATAATTGAATGCCTACTGTACAGGTCAGCACAGCCACTGTGAGTGTCATGGCCTGTGCCTCCACTGAGCGTCTGATTTTAGAATGAGGGAGAGAGAAGACAAATTTTAAACCAATAAATAATTGCAAGAAAAGTACAAATATAATGAGAAGTGGTAGTACCTTCGTGTGAGGGACTGCCATATTTGTAGCTATAGTTTAGGTTAGAAAATTCACCTGGCAGAGGCCTTAGTATAGACTGTAAAGGAAACAGACATCTGTTGAGTGCTCCCTATGCACTAGGCATTGCTAGGTACAAACAGATGTGATTCATCAAATTCTCAGGTAAATCTGATTCCATGTCTCAGGGTCACATCAGCTTCAGAAACCCATCAGGCACTTTAGGAACTATTGCCCAGGCATTACCGAGAGGGACATGTGAGCTTACCAGCACAAGGAGCACTACTTTAGGTTGAAAATAACACGTTGCCCGTGCTACCGTGGTCAGTCCTGAGCAGTAGCTGGATTGACACGGGCTTCAAGTAATACAGGCCAAGACCTGGTTGTTTTCCCCAAGGTTAACCCAGGGATACAATGAGACACTTAAAATTACTTAATAACCTAGGAACAACCTATTCAATCTTGGATTTATCTAAATCTACCTTTAAAAAAAAGAACCGTTTTTACTGATTTTTAGAGAGGAAGGGAGAAGAGAGAAACATCGATGTGAGAATGTAACATCAATCAGCTACCTCCTGCACGCCCCCCACCAGGGATGGAACCCCAAACCCAGGCATGTACCTTGACCAGAAATCGAACCAGTACCCTCTCCATGCACAGGATGACGCTCACCCAACTGATCCACAGTGTTCAGGGCTCTAAAACTACCGGGACACTATTTGTTGGTTGAGATTTTTTTTTTAATGCTTACTTTTATTTGCCCTAATAATCTCTTTCCAGTTTCAAAACGTATTACTAACTTCAGGTAGGACTTTGATGAAGAGCTATGCTCGTATTCGTTTTTGCTGATCCTATATAATAAAAGGCTAATAGACAAATTGTCCCCTCGACCTGGATTTCAACTGGGAGTTCAACCAGGGGGCGGGGCCAGCCAACTTCCCTTCCCTCCCCCTGGCTGGCCTGGCCCAATGGGCCCCTACTGAGGCCCGCTGGCTGGACCCCACCTGTGCATGAATTCATGCACCAGGTCCCTAGTTTTGTAATAAGATTCCTTTCCAGGTTGAAATATAAATATATATGAATTTTTATGTCTAAGGAGTACTTAGATTTTGGGATTTAGTGACACATAATCCTGACTTTGAAGTTTGCCTTTCCATCTA